ACAAATGGGATATATAGAAACTTCCACCGAACAAATCTACAAATGTTAGACCATTCGGTAGTTTCTTAAGTTCTCTCAATATAATATCTTTACATCTACTCTTATTTCCAAAGAACGGTAACGGTGGTTTTGTAAAATTCATTTATATATAATAATAAAAATGTTTTTACCCGAAAAGTGACAGAAAAGTGACAAAACATGAAAACATATATAATTTGTGAAAAGTGAAACAAAAAGTGACATTTTTAAAAGTGACATCATTAATATGATGTAAATAACAACGGTTTTGGTTTTGTCACCGGCTGGTCGGCTGGGGTTCGGTCCTCCTCTTGGGTCTTGGGCAAAATTCTTAGGGCTAGAAGGGGCGCAGCCCCTGGAAGCCCCTCATACCTGACCTGATATAGATTATATGATTTATACATATGAAAAATAATATATAAAATATAATTTTGAGATAATTATGTAAATAATATTTTAAATATTTGAATTTGAGGTATAATTTTATAGTAAAAGGTCAGGTATGTGGGGCTTCCAGGCACTTCGTGCCCTCTAGCCCCTAAAAAAACCTAGAGGAGAACTAAAAAAATTATATAGTAAAAAATTAAAGTTTTTATTCGATAAGAACGACATCGCTATCGTTTTCTTCTTCCTCCTCCTCTTCTTCATAGTCAGTATCTGATGGCTCTTTGTCAGCCACATGACCAGCAACAAATATTGAGACAAATTGTTTCTTTGGTTTTGTTAGCAGGAACTTTTGATGGTCGTAGAACACGAATTCTACATTTTGAAAATGTTGTGCTGAGTATTCTGTGAAATGGGAAATTGGAATTGGTTCTCCCATGCCAAAACCAGCAATGGACGCGAACAAAACATCGTCTTCGACTCTTGCAGGTTTGTCAATTGCAACAGTAGTTATTATGTGAGGTTTTCCTTCACATCCTGCAAGAGATTGTACATGATAGATTGCTTTTTCTTCTCCCTCAGGAACTGAAAGTGTGAAATGGAATGAGAGTTCTCCATATTCATTTGCTTCTTCGTAATAGTTGTATGTTGTAGGATACACCAATTGAAATTTTCCTATTCTTGTTTCCCTCAGGTGTTGTCTATATTGCTTGGGAAAACATAAAATAAATTGCTCTATAGCTTGTGTTGCTATTAGATTGGTTGTAACTGGTAATTTTGAGGCGAAAAGGTCTACAAGAACACCGGGATTTTTTATGTCGTTTTCAATTGGTTTAACAGATTCTATGACTTTGTTAAACATTTCACTATAATCTGTGTTGTCTTCGACCCCCCAATTGTTAAGAAGTTTATACAACAATTTCAGTCTTTTCATGGCGTATTTTCTTTGAATGGATTCGGGTAGCGAGAGGTTACAGTCGTCGCTTTGTGTTTCGTTACTCGAATATTGTTCAAGAGAAATTAAATCTTGAAATTGTGCTCTTGTTAACATACTTGTAGAACTATGTGAAACTTGTTCTGGTGCTGGTTGTAAATCTGTTTCAGATGTTTCTGTTGTGTTTTGAGAAGAAGAAGAACTCAAATTGTTGGACAATTTGTCTTGAATTGTAGAACTATGTGAAACTTGTTCTGGTGCTGTTTGGACAACTGTATCTGTTGTTTCTGTTGTGTTTTGAGTAGATTGTCTTGAATTGTTGGACAATTTGTCTTGAATTGTATGAGGAAATTGCTTTGGTATTATAGGAGGTCGTAAGGGTTTTGAGAATGGTGAGACATAAGTTGTAGGAACTTTAACTGCAGAGGTAGTCGAAGAATTGTTTGCGACACTTGTTCTTCCTTCCATTATGAAAAATGAACTGTTTTTTTCGGACTACTCATAGAAAAGTTTAAAATAAACGGTTTTTGTCAACGGTAACCCCCTCTATTTTTTATTTTATTGAAAAGTCTCCGTTGGAAAACCGTTCCATCTCAAATATTGAATGAACTATAAACATTTTTTGTTTTCTATATATACTTTTTTGTCCAACGGTAAAACTTTTTACACAACGGTTTTTGAGAGTCGTCGCCGTTGACTTTTTTGTAGAGCGCTCAAAATAGTATAACTTTGTCCGGACAAGTAAGGGTCTATCGTCGCTACAGGAAAAGTTACAGGCGTTCCAAGGAAGTATACTTTGAGAAGCCTTTTCTCCCTTATAGAATGAGATAAGACAGTTATTTTACAAAACTGACAACACTTTGACCGAGTAGTTTTTTGTGCTGAACAAAAAGTGTCATATAAACATCTGTCAAAAACCACTTTTTAACTTCACTTAAAATGCCACGTAAGCTACGTAAGAATATGCGTAAGAGGAAGAGAGCATTGAAACATCCAATAGTAAAACTGACACCACAACAACAGTTGCAACAACAAATGATGAATGACCCCACTATGTTGCAACAAATGTCAAGCAACCCTATGCTTTTAAACCGAGTTATTGGTGCACAGAGTGGAGGTTTAAGAGCGGCACTTTTAGCGAAAATGGCAGGCTATGGTGGAGCTGCAGACGGAACAGCTTATAACCCTCAAAGTCAAATGAATTTGAGTTCACTCAAAAATCAAATAACAGATGTCAAAAAGTCAAACATAGACATACAGAAACAAATAAGTGAAAACGAAAAGAAACTAGAATATGACAGACACACAAAGAAACTAAATGAGTTAAACGTAGAGAAAAAGAAGAAAGAAGAACAACTGAAAGAACTAAGTACAGAGGAATATGCGAAAAAAGTGTCAGAAAAAGCAGCAGAAGTAGCAAAAATGGAACAAGATGTTATAAATTTGAAAAACCATACTACTCAATATAAAGTACTGAAAGATGAAGAGATAAAACAAAAAGCCCTGAAGACATATATGGATAGCGATGAGTATAAAAAAGAAGTTGAAGCAAATGTAAAGGCAGAAAAACTTTTACAGTTGCAAAACCAAACCGTACAGTATGAAAACTTAGCACAAGAAAGTAAAAATAACGACGCAGCCATGCAAAAGGCAATGAAAAGCGCAGAATATATAAAAGCTAATAATGACTGGTTAGATGCCCAAGCCAACGCTAAAGCAGCCCAACTTATAGGGTCAATAAGGACAAAAATACAAGCGGATGAAGACAGTTCAAATGAAGCTTTAATGAATGCCGACTTTAAGAATGCCTTCGAAGCTCTTCATAGTAAGGTGAAACTAGTGAACGACTTCTCATCTGGAAAGAAACTGAAGTCTGAAGGTTTCGACAAAGAGTTAAGAGAAGTAGCACAAAATATGACGAAAATAACAGATGCAGCAACGAGACAGGCAGTTCAAAGTGCCTATGACTCCGTTAGAGCAACTGTTGTGGAAAGTCAAGAAAAAGAGTTACAACAGACCAAAACAGACCTAGTAAATGCTTTCTTAAAAACGAAAAGTCAGGTAGGACATTATGCTGCAGATGGAACATATGTGCCAGCTGGTGGAACTTATATACCACCAAACCCTCCAAGAGAAGCACTTGCACCAGGACTACCTAAAACATTTACATCGTCACATGGACACAGACACAGGCATGCACCACAACAACAACAACCAACAATTCAAAATCCAGCACAACAACCACCTCCACAACCAGCACAACAACCACCTCCACAACCAGCACAACAACAACCACAAACAGAGCAAGGACATAAAAGAAGTAGAGAAAAAGGAAACCAAGAATTCTTAAAAATGCTTAAGGAAGATTATGGTTACCCAGATACTCTTGACTTTAGTGACAGATATAAAGAAGCTATTAGAAAGTTCAAGGAAGGAAATACTGACCCGAACCTATTTAGCTTTATGGCTCAGCATCAAATCGGATATAATCTCAAACCTGGAAAATACAAGCTCGCTAAGGGATATGATTTAATAGCATATCATCCAAATGACATGAATGAATTTACTCCGAGATATTTGATGTCAGAGCTAAATGATAATTCAACTCTCTTCATGAAACGCGTAAAAAATAGAGACGGAACGAAAGAAGAAAGGTTTATGAGTCCGGATGACTTAGATAGGGAACTTGTTAAAAACGGTCTCGGAATATATGAAATGCCAGCAGATGAGGTACAAGAAACTCAACAGGAAGAAGTTCAGATACAACCAGACATGGAAGAAATAGTTCAGCAACAACAGCTAGAAGAGCCTGAAGGAAACGAACAAATCCCTCCTTTGGAAACTAACTTCACAGAACTAGATGAAGATTTGGAACAGCCGAAAAATCTTGACCCTCAACAAGAGTATGCGGAGAATATGGAATCTTTCCAAGAGTCTAAGAAAAATTCGGCTGACATAGTAGAAGAATATCGAAAAATGTTCGCCGACATACAAAAGACTCCAACATCAGATGAAAATATTCAGCATAGAATGGAAGTACTGAAAGATAATGTACGCAAATACAATAACCCTTTTTACTTACGACCATATAACGTTCAATCTTTGGATGAACTCGGTGAAAATAAAAGGTTAAATTTCAACAAAACATATAGAAATGAAACATTGTTTAAAGTTCATTCAGAACCTAACAAATATGGAAACAAACCTACTTTTGTTTCTGCAGACTATGGAACTACAATGAGATGGGGTCATAAAGCTAATCCGGATAGGTGGTTCATAAACTTACAACCACAATTCCAAGAAGTTGTAGACGCAATGGAAGTGAATGGTGAACCAGATATAGCTGGTATTTTCAGCGCGGCTTTAATGCCATTGAAAGATATGAAACATGCAGATATTTTGGACCAGTATGAAATGAACATGGCTGATGGAAATATAACACCTGACGTTCTAAAACATTTATCTCAAAGAACTACACAGAACCATAGAGATGGTATATTTGGTGAAGAGTTTAGAAAGAAAGTTAGGGAGAGAGAAGAAAGAACCTATTGTACATGACCTTGCAAACGAAAGTTTGCAAAATGTCATAAAAACTTACTTTGCAGACAATGAACCGAGAAGGGATGAATATTTAAGAAAACTCAAATGGACAGTACCAAATGAAATGTTAGTATTGAAAAACATGTTCCTTGACAAAATAAAACCAACTACAGAAATAAATGACGCAAGACTGAAACATTGGGTAAAAGCTTTCCCATTCACAAAAGATATTATTGGTAACATGGAAAGAAAACCAGAATGGCTACAAAAACATATATTTGGAAACGAGCTTATTCCATATGGACAAGCTCTGTTTGAAGAGCTTGAACCGGAAACTCAGGAAAGAGTCATGCAAACAATACGCGAAGACTCAAATACAAACTATGACAAAATCTTTCTAGGATATAGGTTACCTGAGATGGGCGACCAGAGCCCAAAGGCAAAAAGGACATGGGAAATTTACAACATACTAGGTGAACATGAGGCAAAGATGCAACAACTTGAAGCAGAGGGCAAGTTACCAAAAGCGACACCAAAGAAGAAGAGAAGAGTAGAACAAAGTGAAAGTAGTGAAGAAGTAACTTCATCTAGTGAAAGTAGTGGCAATGAAGGAAAAAGAAGAGTTAAAAACTCAGTCAGGAAGAAAGTAAAGCTTGGTCCGAACATTATGACACATAAATCCAACTATTCTATATTTTTACCCATATGAAATGTACGCCGCTCAGAATATAACGCCAACAGTTTTGGATGCCATGAACGGAAATGTTTCCGAATGGTATAACGAATGCGACAATGCCATTAGAAGGTCAGAAATAGTTCCTGGAACTTACGAATATACAACTGCTGTTTCTTATGGAAACGTAGGTGAGTTTGGAGAAGGTTCTTCAACAACAGTAGATATTGCTTGCGACAGGTTTCATATTATTTCTATTGACAACTCATTCTTATACGTGGAACAAGACATTGAAATAAAACCTTCTGCCAAGTTGTCTGACAAGAAAGGTTGCAATGGAATTTTCTATGTCGGATACCAATATGCTCCAGAAGTTTTCATGGGATATAAGATATATTCTAACTCTGACTTAGTTCAAACAGTAACATGGGCAAACTATGAATGGTTCGCTTTGAGAAACTCAGTACAACCACAAGCTAGAGAACAAACAGACCAGTATGCAACTATTGAGAAAATAAGAAGACTTGACCCTAACGTTCCAGGAGTTTATGTTAACCTTTCTGGTTCAGATGGAAATGCTGCCACTAAAGTAAAACTGAAACTTAGAGTTCCTTTGTCATCTTTCCTCATCTTTAGGTTTTTTAAGATACTTGCCAAACTGGGCAGGAAAAATTTCTATCGAACTTACTCCAAGCAAAAATAACTTAGTCATTGCACCAACACAAGACCCATTCAGCATTACTGTAGCTGGAACTGGTGGAGCCAAGTTCTGTGACTTTTGCAAAGACAAAGTTGACTTAGACTTTGGTTTCTCAAACTCAACACTGAAGTAAACTATTATTTCAATGCTGCTGGAACTGCTTGGGACCCAGTTAAGTTTACATGCGAAAGTTTGAATGCAAGAGAATAGAAAGCAGACTTGCAGTCTATATGTTGGACCCAGATATTTCAAATGCTTTAGCTGCCAAATATATTGCAGTTCCACTTATGTTCCCTATACACCAAATATCTGTCAAAGACTTTGCAGGTGAAGTTGGAAACCAAAGTGCTGACCCAGGTGCAAGAACAGATATTGCTTTAACAACTGCAATGAAACATGCAGATACTATGTTTGTACTGTTCAGACGAACTATAAATGACTATTCTTGTTTCTACAACCCTGGTATTAAATATCATATAAACATAGATGGCAAATATTATCCAAGAGAAGAATATTCTACAGTTGAGGATATGAGGTCATACAACTTGACATTAGATGCTATGAACTTTAACAACAACTTCACAACAACCATTAACCCTGAAATGCAAAGTTCTATTATGCCATATGTGAAAGTATGGACTCATACAGGAGGTCAAAAAACTCAATATACAAATGGAGACCGTTCAAACTTTTGGCTTGGCATTCCATTTGCTGACTCAGAAGACTTTATGGGTGGTATTTCAACTGTTGGTACAGTTCAAATACAATATACTGGTGACAGAGACGGTCCAGATGAATTGAAGCAAAGAAGTTTACAAAACCAATAGCACTTTTCACGGAAGATGCTCTTTTGAAGATTCGTTCGATGAAACCTGCTGGGGCTCCTCAGATTGGCATAACGACAGCTTCCATCGAGCAGATTTTGGCAGCAGGTCAGTAAGTTGTTCTTGAACTGACTTCTCTCCGTCAAATATTGACAGTACGCCAGTTTTGACATAATATTGTATTATAAACTTTCCTTTAGTAATATCGTCAGTTTTGAAGTTATATTTTGTCTGCTTCAAGAACTTTCACCATTTCAGTTATACCAACTTTCTTTGCTTTATGAAAATATTTTGGTTCAGCAAAGACTGCTATTCTATAACATTTTCCATTGTTTGTGTAAAGAACTATTCTGTCAATGTATTTGTATTGTTTGTGTGTATAAACTTTGTTCTGCTTCAATTCGAAAGAGATACTCGAATACGTCCATATTTTTATTCTAAGTAAAATGTCATTTCCGAAAAATAGAAGCGTAAGTGTTTCAAAAGGTTTAATGGCGGTGGCAGATGTGAAGTTAAATTCACCAACTCAAACAAACAGTCAAAGTGTTATTGTCAATGTCAAAGACAGAGATGTTGAAGTGGGGAAACCATACGAAGACGAAGATGGTATAACAATTGTTCCTGTAAAAGAACAACCAACATATCCTGAAGTTAGCAGAGACTTAAGTTCTGTTGCAGATATTCGAAACGACTACCAACAACTTAAAGACAAACTTCAAACTCAGGAGAAGATTTGTCAAGCTTTAGGTATAATGTTAAACTTGGTCGAACACAACCCTGTAAAAGTGAACTCATATGTCATTGCACCTCATGAAGTTTTGAAAGAACTATTGAAACTTTTGACAGAGGCAGACGATATAAACATCAAAGAAATAGAACCCGACATTAGTTGCTGTGGTGTTTCATATAATGTCATTGACAAGATATACGTTATGAAAGGAGGTGAAACGTTGAACTTAAAATATAGTTTCCCAGACGTTATAAAAATATTTGACGACCACAACATTTCATTAAAATTTATTTGCTAAGTAAATGGCAGAAGATATAATGGTTTATACTATTACGACTAAAAACCCTGAGTCATATAATTCTATAACAACAAACTTACAAAGTCCTCAAGGACGATATTGTAAACTAACCTTAAACACAATGACGACTAAAGCCTGTTTTGCTCTTTTGACACCAGAAGACTTTATTGTTGTGAATGGTAAAAAATACTCCTTTGAAGATACTTACTCAGATATACCACCAACAGGTTTTGTTGACTTATTTAATACTTTAAGGACGGGTGTAACATGTGCTGCAACTAGAGCAGGTTTCATTATGTTTGGATGTCCGACTGAGTTTACTATAAACGATATGAGCTATAATACAAAACTTATTTCTGGTTTTTACTACCAACAGTTTCCTATAACAGGAAAAGGTGTCATACAAGGAATGTCTATTCCATTGACATTAAGCACACCAATCTTATATATTGTTTCAAACTTAGGTTCAAAGTGTTATTCGAATGTCGACAGAAACTATTATGACCAAAAGATACTTATGCGTATAAACAATACTTTCTCTGCTGGTTTGCCTATTGTTCATTCGAATGCAGAATTTTCAACCTTAGTGAACTCAAACACTTTGGCAAGTATAACGTTGAATTAGTTGACGCAAACTTTGTTCCTGTAAAACTTTTATGTCCTATGTATTTGTCAATGACGGCAGAAAGTTTCGAATTGGAAGATGCAACTGGTGAAAGTATTGTATTACAAGAACAACTTCAACAACAAATAGCACAAGAACAACAAATGCAACAAATGCAACAACAAAGTCAAGAATAAAAAATAATATTTTTTTATTTTTATAAAAATGTACAGAATAGATGTTTCAGATTTTTATGACTTCCAAGCATTCAGAAATATGTGTCCATTTAGAGACTATAACAAAGCAGTCGAGAATTTGAAACGTTTAGTCATTTATGTTGACTCTGCCCCAGAATGTTATGTCATGAAAGAATGGGATGTTGTCTTTAACAAACCAAGAGCAACAATAGTGTCTGAACAAGAATGTAGACAGAAACTTAAGAAAATAAAAGTTGTACAAGTTGGAATGAAGATGTTAGATGCTTGGGATATCTTATTGTCAAAGTTAGAAGATTTTTCAGTTCGAGGTATAAAGTTCTATACACCTTCTCCAAACTTCTATTCTATCTTCACTGGATATAAATACGAACAAGTAGAATGGAAAGAACAATATTATAGAAGCTTGGTTAGACCATGTCAAAGAAATTATATGCAATGGAAACGAAAGAGTCTATGAGTATATCTTATGTTGGTTTGCAAACATCTTACAACATCCAAGTGCTAAAAATGAAACTGCTCTCATTATAATTGGAAAACAAGGAACAGGTAAGAACACATTCTTTACAGATATCTTGTGCAAACTGTTAGAAGGTTATTCGAATCCGAATATGACAAACTTAGAAAACATCTGCGGTAAATTTAACTCCTCAATAGAGAATATGAAACTTATAGTTTGCAATGAACTTCAAAGTATAGATACAACAAAAGTTTTGAACTCAGATGCTTTGAAGAGTCTTATAACAGACAAAGTTGGAGTTGTTGAAAGAAAGTATAAAGACCAAAGAGTTTGTGAAAATGTTGCAAACTTCATTATGGTTTCAAACAATGTTGTTCCGATGAAGTTAGAAAGTTCTGACAGAAGATATGTAGTTGTCAGAACGTCAGATTCTCATATGCAAGATACAGAATATTTTGACGACTTAGCAGAAACTTTGACATCTGACTTTTACAACCACTTGTTCTCATACTTTATGACATTAGATATTTCTAAGTTCAATCCAAGACAAATTCCACATACCGAAGAGAGACAAACATTGTTAGAAGCAAACAAGAGTGTATATGAACTGTTCATAGATGAAACTGACTTTGTGTCATTAGATGAAAGGTCATTGTACGATTCGTATAAACAATATTGTCAAGAATATGGTTATATGGCAGCTTCTAAACGAACATTCTTGGCAAATGTCAAAAGTCTTTTAGATGTTCAGAATGGTGTATATACAAAGAAAAATTTTTCTGAGTAAATTTAAAACAAAAATATTTTTTTATCCGATAGAAAAGATGAAAAAATTCATCTCAGTAAACAAGTACATGTCAGGACTTAAAGAAGAACTAGACCCATTCACATGTTTGAATGTTTACTTCTACCATTTTGAAAAGTCTTCATTCAGCAAAGTTTGGAACATCGAACCAGTTAAGTTTGCTATTGTGACTAAAAATGGTGCGAAATTTGAAGACTTAGACATAGAAGGTTTGTTAGCAGTCAAAGAAAGTTTTGACAGAAGGTTCTCAAACCTTAAAGAAGGCAAAGCATACAAACTTGTTATACCTTATGAACCAAAGAAAGCAGACGACTATGAATATTATGAGTCTAAGATAGTTGAAGTTCAAGGTAAATTGGGTAAAAAGATTTTAGAGTCTAAGCCAGTGTTTACTCCTAAAGAGGAAGAGAACATTGACATTGACCCAGAAATGTTCTAAAAATAAAATTTTATTTTTACATGTCAAATTTCTTTTTCTCTGGAACTGGTTCAGGTTCTTTCTTCTCTTCTTCTACTTTCTTTTCTTTCTTTTCTCTCTTCTTCTTTTCTGGTGGAGTTATGTCAAATTTGGCGCAACCATATTTATGTAAAAGTTCTTTGTCCTTTAATAGCTCATCTATTCTGTTTTCTATTTCATCTTCAAGAACAGCGCATGTGTCTTCTTTGCATTCTAAGAACTTTTGTTGGACTTCATCTTTCCAATCGGCGTCATCTCTGTCAACAAGTCTGTCATTGACAAATTTTAAGACTGCTCTGCTTAATGTTTTATGGTTCTTGTCATATTCCCAGAAACAGAACTTTAGAACAAATTCCCCTTTCTTGTTTACACTATGTAAGATTTTATGGTCGACAGATGTTTTGCTGTCTGTCAAAAGTTGTCTCGAATATAGATAGCGAAATCGCTAGACATTTTCTAAAAGATAAAAATTTTAATTTTTCTAAAAATATGTTAGAAAAAAAGTTTGCTGACATTGACAAAAAATTTGAGAATGTTTTAAACAAGAACAAGAGGAAGTTAGAAAATGCTCAGATAAAGCCTATACATGACAAGTTCTTATTTGCTCAGAATGGTATAACAGGTCTAATTGCACCACCTGGGTCGGGTAAGACTTTCACTTATCTTAAAATGGCTGCACAACAACAAGAACTAGATGAGAAGAACCCATTCTATGAGTTAGTTGTTATTTGTTGACTTCTGGTCAATTTGACCAAACCGTCAATTCGTTCAAAGATATTATAAAGAAGTCTAAGTTAGTATGTATAAGGATACTGAGTTGTTAGATTGGATAAAGTAAGTAAAAGAAGAGTTTTGAAGTATAATGCTATAAATGAGTATATAAATTCGAAGTTTAAAGACCCTAATGAGGAAATGCAGAGAATATTAGAGAAGAAACACTTCAGAAACAAACAGAAAGAGATAGAATACATTTCGAAGAAATTGCAATCTTACGATTGGAAGACTTACCCTCATAGATGTCTTCTTATCTTAGATGACTTTGCTTCTCATCCTTTGTTAAAGAACAGAGAACAAGATAGTGTCGAATTCTTAAGAAGCTCAGACACTTTAACATCTCAGTTGTCATTTGTGTACAGACAGCCAAGAGTTTAAGTAAGGATGTAAAGAGAATACTTACTGACATTATACTTTTCCCGGATTGTCCGAAGACGATTTCATGGAACTTATGAAAGAGTCCATGGCAGGTAAGTTTGACAGACATGAACTATGGGAGAAGTATAAAGTCATACAAGACCCTCATACTTCTTTCAGAATTCATATCTACGCAAACAAAGTTCAAATTGTAAAAAGTCAATAAAAATAAATGGTTCATTTACTCTGCTTGTTTGAAGTTGTCAAAATACTCTGTTATTTTTTCTTTCAGTAGCGGTAAGTCTTCTCTCGGTTTTCCGAGGGAAGCAATCTTATGCCATTTTACTCAGAATTTTGTTGCTGAATTCAGTAAAAATAATGTTTAGGTGAAGAGGTGAGATCTCACCCGTTTTTTCACCCGTTTTCTCACCTGTTTTTTCACAAGCGTTTTACATGAATTGTACGATGTATATTTGAAATCCTAAACAGTTTTGTAGCTTCTATTTCTTCTGTCAGTATGTCAAAAGTTTTAACTATGCCGAAGGTTTCTTTATACTTCTTCTTGACGTCAGATAGAAGGAAATCTTCTGCTGTTGGATAGTTTTTGTTCAGAAATTCTAACATGTCCATTTTATTTTCTACCGGCTTCTCTGCTTCTTTCTTTAAGTCTGCATAGTCGTTTCGCATACGTTCTATCTCTTTGACGGAGTAGTTATATTTCCTAATTGCTGCTTTACATTTAGAACATTGCGGGTTCATTTTTGCGTTATATTCTGAAACCTTACCTGCTAAAACAACTAAGGCGTCAATTGCTCTCTTCATCTCAAACATAGCGGGTCTTATTTGTTCGTTCCATACCTTACCTCTTCTATCTTTATCTCTTATCTGCCATACACATTCTGCAACTAACGAAACAAAGTTGTCGTAGGTCTTAAATTCTTCAGATTTATATATGTCAGAAACATTCTTATATACCATATCGCAATCTTTGTCCATAACCTTATGGTTGCAATGAAAACCAAGGAATTCATAGTTTACCTTTCGTATGAACTTCTTTATTTCTACTGAGTCAGTTGCTTTGACTTCAATTTCGTCAAATTCAGGAATAGTGAGTTTTTGTTGCTGAATTTCAGGTAGTTTAGGCAAATGGTCAATAATGTCCTGCATTTCATAAAGATACTGTTCATTTGTTTCATCTTTCGCACTACAGTCTAAATTACTTGTTAAAAGTTCTTGCTTTATCTTCTGGATTTTTGTTTCGAAAGTATATGAAGAAGGAATGAAGTTTTTCATCTCTACTAACATTGACGTAGGATTCATAACTAACGAGTTTGGTGCTGTTGTTTGAATTGTTGTTGTGCCGATTGTTGAAATCATATTTACATACAAATAAAAAAAAAAAAATAAAAACTAACTTTATTTTTTATTTCGGGAAAATTCATGAAAATTCAAAGGGTAGAAATGAGGGTAGAAAACAGGTTAGATCTAACCTTCTACCCTAAACATTCTTGTCAAATACAAAAAAAATGAAAAAAATGACACTTTTCATTAGATAACTGTTATTTTTTGACGAAGTGAACATTAACACTTCGTCAAAAAAATCCCTGAAATCATATCTTACATACAAAAAAATGAAGAATAAATAAAATAAAACTAACTTTATTTTTTATTTCGGGAAAATTCATGAAAATTCACGAGGGTGAAAAAACGGGTGAGATCTCACCTCTTCACCTAAACATTATTTTTACTGAATTCAGCAACAAAATTCAAATTGTAAAAAGTCAAGCTTGAAAAATCTAAGTGTTTAGTCTTAGTAAGATGGTAGCTTCTTAAAGCAAATACCATTGCTGAGTTTTAGGTACGTGAAGAGAAGTACAATGAATTCAATTACGAGTACAATTGCAATGACAACTAAGGCAACTATTTTTGTCTTTTGCCAGCAAGGGTACTTCTTCTCTTCCAATGGTTCGGCAGAACTATACTCACTCATGAGAAATGCCAAAACGGTTTAATAGAAAAAGTGTCATTTTTTCATGTCCGAAGACTCGAAGGTGCAACACTTCCAAAATACCGACGAACTCAGAAGGGCAGCATGGCAGTATCTTCTTGACAACTTCTTTGAGTTCTCCAGGTACACCTTGGAAAATGCTGAAGAACTCCGACACAGAGAATTTGGAGAAATTGCACTCCAATACTACCTTGACAAACAAAGGGTAAACAAAGGGTAAAATAAGACTAAAAACTTAACGTTTAAAAAGTGACATTTTTATGAGCTCCGAGTCACCGAGAAAACTTGGTCAGATGTTAGCAGCTTACTTCCCTGAGGAGGATGGAAGCGTTACATACATAAGGTTCAAAAACAACGAACCTGGAATTGCGTACCAAATTCGCAATTACATGACCATGGAAGAGTACGAAAGGTTCCTACAAGAGAAACCAGCTCTAAACAACTCAGAAAAGAAAGAATAAAAAGTTTAACTCGTAATTGTTTATTTTTTTACTTGTATGGGCAAGCTGCAAGAATGAAGTCGACTATCTCAGTCTTTGTCTTGACCAGTTGGACGGCTCTTGCGAGTACGTCTGTTTTGCGGTCTCCAGCTGGTGTCTGACCTTCGTAATTGCGCATGTTCTTGAGAGCTCCAACTGTAAATGATTGTAGGATGAAGAGTCTCTCAGACTGCTTGAGGTAGTCTTCACGGTCACGAACCGAATCTGTGGTACGAGTCGAATTGGTCGACCTTAGGGAAGAGACTGAAAGCCTGTCGTCTTCCATTGGAGCTGTAGCATACTCTTTGCGTAAGCGGTTCAGGCCTTCTTCGAAGTCTTGGTCTCTCTTCGATTGAGATTGGAATTGGAATTGCTGGGGTGGAGCTTGCTGGAACAACCAAGGGTTGGGGAAGTAAGGCATAGGCTGAGGAGGGTAGTTCGGGAAGCCTTGTGGTGGGTAGTAACCTTGAGGTGGAAATTGGTAGTAATTCGGAGGTACTTGCTGGAACTGAGGTTGCTGAGGAGACTGTTGTGGTTTTGCAGCTTTCGGTTCTTCTGGTTTGGGAATGGACTCGGTTGGTGGGACGTCAGTCATCCGTTTGTGTCCTGTCGGAAGGAAAAATTTTTCCTGTCGGAAGGAAGAACTTTTCCTGTCGGAAGGAAGAACTTTTTCTGTTGGAAGGAAAAACTTTTTCTGAAGTTCGACCAAAAAGTTCTCAATTTTCGAAAATTTGAATGGTTTACAGACGGACAACTTGAAGAGTTCTTCCTGTCGGAAGGAAAAATTTTTCCCTTTGTCCGGAAAATTTTTTCCAGTTGTCGGGAAAATATTTTCCTGTCGGATGGAAGGACTCGGAATGCCAGAAGGATTTGACGAGGCAATTTACCTTATAGAGATAAATGAAGTTGTTAAGCAGTACTTGCGCAGGGTAATGAAGCCCAAGGTCAAGTTCACCACTATTTCTGGAAGGTCTACACTTCAGCTCGAGACTTCGACTGGAATTCCAATTCAAATACCAGACGGGACAGCCTACGATGGCATAAAGGACGCCAAAAGAGAAGCTCTTGTTAAGTTCCTAAACAAACGTCCTTGGATAAAAATACCAAACAAGGAGAACCCCCTACCCCATATGAAATTGGCAATTCAGTCTCTCCTTCACTTCTCGGGTCAGCCGTTCTACATAACCTGTGAAGGCGACATCCAACCAGTTCAGTAAACCTTAACGTTTAGAGTAAAAACATTTTTTTTCATTTTTTGAATGAAGCAAGTTAAATTCGTCCCATACCAATCTCAATGGACCGATGAAGAGTTTCAAGCCATAGTTGAAGACGTTGAGAACGACATAGACGGCGAACTTGAAGGAGCTCAAATCACAATTGCAACCAAAATTGCAGGAGTCAAGGAACAGATAGCTCCACTTAAAGCTACCAAAGCTACTCTTGACCTCATGGATAGTTACCGTTTAGATGTCAAGAGTGGAATAAGACATTTAAAATTAAAACTTCTAAACTACGAAGCTATACTCCAAAAGTTAGCAGAAATGAGAAGACTTTACCAGAGCTACTTACATGTAAGGGACTTACCTTCAAGCAGTCCGACCAAAGATGAATTTGTTGACATTGTCCCAATTTTGTCCGAAAGTCAGCTCAGATGTTTCGAACTGCTCCCAACATATCCGGAATATGAACGTTTGCCTGAACTCTTCCACAATCTCAAAAAACGTTTTTTGGTTCTCATGTTCCAAACTTTTATCGGAAGAGACAACAAACGTTCAGAAGAAGAACAAGATATTATTTTAAACTTGTTGTATGACATAACTGTCATAACAAGCTTTTTGAAGTAAAACCGTCATTCTCAAACCACTTCATTTTTTCGATGTCCGAACAAGCACCGAAGCCAAACTCAATGGCAGATGTCCTTTCAAGGTTGACAGACAAGCGCCCAGTTCAAATTCAAATTGCCCAATTGAACGCTCATCTGTCAAACACCATTAAGACTCTCCAAAGTAGTCTTATGGAAGAGATAACCAATCTCAAAGTCGAAGTCCTCACGAACCAAGCTTCCAATAAGAAAGTCCTGAACGATTTCGCGGAAACCTTGCGCCAATACAACATAGAGAACCAAAACCTTGCCCGACTCATCTACCGTTTCTTCGAAGAGATTGACACCATCTGGGCGGCACTCGGAAAGGACAGAACCTCCAACACCGTAATTCGTGAACACAGAATTGCCGAAGGTATTATCAAAGAAGAGGAAGAAGAGGAAGAAGAGGAAGAAGAGAAACACGAAGAAGAGGAAGTTTGGGCAACCCTTGTTGCCGATGACGCTTACGAAATTTCCCAACCCTACCCATACAAAATCCGCAACAGGGAGACCGGCAAGGTTCTTACCCCAGTCCTCAACAACTTGGGACACTTGAACCTTAACCTTCGGAATCGCGGTTCAATTTCCATGGGCAAGCTTGTCGCAATTCAATGGGTTCCAAATCCAGGCAAGAAGACGAAGGTCAGACACATTGACGGTGACAAGCTCAACAACCGTAAGGAGAACCTCGAGTGGTTCTAAGAGTAAAAAAATTTTATTTTAGGGGAAACCCCAAGTAAATTTAGGTGTTTATTTGGATAAGTATGTTAAATTAAGGGTAATTTGCAAAATTAGTTCCCGACCTTTGAATTGGGCTCTTTCGTTATCCCAGTTGCGTAGGAGGTCGTCCCAGAGGAGTTGGTAGAATTGCCAATTCAAGGACGATTTGTCCTCCCAGGCATTGAGGATGTACTGCTCGTAGAGTTTCATGACCTCTGCCTTGCACCAGACACCCTCTCCCTTGGAACGTAAGGCTTCTTCGAAGTGCTCGAATGCGATTGGCTGCTTGACCATCCGAAATGACACTTTTTGTCCGTTTGTCAATGTTCGTGTCTCGTGCCATAGTCGACGAAAATACAGACAAACAGGTTATATATGAGTTTGAGACCAAGAATGGTGTAACTCGACCTGTCCGATTCAAAGACTCCGAGGGCGACCATGAAATTAAACGGAAATTAGCTAGGAAGGAATATAAAATGGACTGGTTGCCACCACCTCCACCTCCACCACCTTTACCTGTTCCTCAAGTAAATAAGCCTTTCCCGTTCCCAAGAATTCCCACATTTTAATTCAAATTCGAATAAAAACGTTTTTATTTCATGCAATGTTTAACTATTTCACCATCTTCTTTAACACCCCAGTACTTACGCTTGGAGAGGACATGAACTTCGGTGAAAATTTTGTCCAATTTGAATTGACCCATCTTCTCACCGACTAAACCCATTTCAATGAGTTTGTTGTATCCTTCTTCGTTCGTCATGAGTGCGTCAATGTTCTCATAGTAAACCTTGACTTTCGATTTGACTTCAGAGAAGAACTCATTGTAGTTGTCAAGGACTGCCTTTGCGAACTGAGGGTAAGACCAATGTTCGACAATAGGTTTTAATGTGGTTACTAAGCCACTTTGACCTTGAGTGAATTCGTACTTCAAAACAAAAGGAGAAAACCTTTCAACAAAGTTGTCGACCTTCTCATAATGTTTACTCTTCATCTCTTGAGGTTTCTTAATGGAATATCCCCATGTCGAATTCATAAGCAATTTGAGTGTCATTGCAAGTTTGGGGTTTGAAGCTTTCCTAATATCATACAGTTGTTGTATGACTTTTCCAACTGTATAGTTCCTTCACGGGAACTCACCATCTTCGTTTGGAATTCCAGTCGGAATATATTGGACAAACCTCATGTATGCAGCGTTAAGGTCGACATAGTATATCTTTTCGTTTGAGTCGAACTTGTCGCAACCAATTGGTCCAGTTTGTGGAAATTCAAGTGAGTCTCTTATCTTCTGAGAAACTTCTCCTGTTAT